TCCGACCACTGCCGAGGTGCTGGTTCGAGAGAAGATTGATGGAGGGTGTTGCCATCTCATTCTACTCTCCGCGGCCAGACACCAAGCTTGTATCGTCCCAGGCGGGACGGAAGCTCCGTTTGAATGCGGTGCCAGCCAGGCGCATTGACAGCCGTTGTCTTGTGAATCCACTTTCCAAGGGAAACGGAAGAATCTGACCGACATCGTGGTGAAAGAGCTGGATATGGTGTGCCTTGTGGAAGCCATGACGGCTGCCATGTCAAGAGTGGGGTGCAGGCTGCTCCAAGATCCGTACGGATGTTTCGGGCTCACAAAACATCAGATCGACCAAAATGAGTGAGCAGCCGCGACCGAGTCATTCGTTGCTCCGTGGCTGCAGCAAGGCTGGCGATAACCTGATCGTCGTGGACGACGAAACCCAGACGTTCATTAATTGGTGTAAAGAATGACTGTGCCCGGGAGTCATGCGGCGAGTACTAGAAGTAAAAGATAGTCGTAGGCGTAAGCGTAGGGAAAATGGTGCCCGGAAACTTCAGCTACAGCCATCGATGCCGTTCTGTTCAACGCATGGCAGAACAGGAGAAGCTTGAGCTGAGCCCTTGGTACTTGCAACTTACTGCGACGAGCGCACGAAAGAGATGCGCATTGAAAGGACACATCACAGTGAACAGTGAGAGGGTCTCATCGCGCTCCAAGCCAGGAGTATCGGACTGCTCACCCAGTAACCTGGTTCTTTCTTGCCGCTGCACATTGCTTTTGTTCGCCGCTTGTGTTGACCTCCTACAACTGCGGACTCAGAACCGGGTTCCCGGTGGGCTTTTGGTTGTGAGAAGCACGGCAAAGGGGCGGGCACCTGCTTGTATAAGTCAAGCTCTCTTTGCGCCGAGCAAACATCGGGTAAATGCCCCGCGTGAAACCTCCATCTGGGGCCCCGTGATCGAATGCAATATATTTGAGCAAATAGCAATCTCCCAAATAGATTGTCGAAGGTTCTCTGCATGTTCTTCCGGACCGTTCTGCGCTGTCAAGATCTTGCGGCGAGGGTTCGAAACAATTGCGACCTTGATAATAGGGCCGAGGCAGAGCTTGCGGCCAATGGCAGCAACAGCCGCCAGGTCCATTGACGATGTTTACTAAATGCAGGCTCCAAGACATTGCGGCTCTTATATCCTGTAATATGTTGAAATTGTTACATGCATGCAGTCCATTAGTACAGGAACAGCCCGCGGCTTCATCTGGTTGTCAAAGCTATAAAGAGGCTCACGGTTCGCACCTCTCCAAGCTCTGCAAGTCCTTCCTTCAAGTTCACGTCTAGTCAATCGTTATATCATGGCTCCTTACACCCTTATCGCGGCGACCCTTCTAGGTCTTGCTGCTGCCCAGACGCCAGGCAACACACCAGAAGTGCACCCCAAGCTCACCACCTGGAAGTGCACCAAGGCGGGAGGATGCAAAGAGCAGAGCACCGCTATTGTCACCGACTCAGCTTCCCATAATATCCACCAGAAGAACTCAACACTCGGCTGCGGAAACTGGGGTAGTGCAGCCGACCCGGTTGCGTGCCCTGATGAGGAAACATGTGCGAAGAACTGCATCATGGAAGGCATCCAAGACTACTCCACGATGGGTGTCTACACTACCGGAGGCGAGCTTCGTCTGGACATGTTTAACCCCAGTGGCGGCCAAGCTAGCCCTAGGGTCTACCTCTTGGCCGAGGACGAGGAGAACTACGAGATGCTTCAACTGACCGGTAACGAGCTGGCTTTCGACGTCGACGTATCGAAGCTGCCATGCGGCATGAACGGCGCCCTTTACCTCAGCGAGATGGAGGCTGATGGTGGACGTTCTCAATTGAACCCAGGTGGCGCCGCCTATGGCACAGGATACTGTGACGCTCAGTGCTTCGTTACACCATGGATCAACGGTGTAGTAAGTACAAGCTGCCTTCTCTCTCAGTACTCATGCTTACTCGTTCCAGGGAAACGTCAAGGGTCAGGGTGTTTGCTGCAACGAAATGGATATCTGGGAGGCAAACGCTCGCTCCAACCAAATCGCGCCTCACACCTGCAGCACCGATGGTCTCTTTGGCTGCACAGGCGATGAGTGCGGCAAGGCTGGATTGTGCGACAAGAATGGATGCGGAGACAACCCCTACAAGCACCGAAGCTCTCCAGACTACTACGGTACTGGCCTTAAAGTCGACACCACGAAGCCTTTCACCGTCATCACCCAGTTCCCTGCCAAGGACGGCGTTCTCCAGGCCATTGTCCGCAAGTACGTCCAGGACGGCGTCGTCATTGAGAACGCCAGGAAGGAGATCATTATGGACCAGGAGTTCTGCAGTGCTCAACCTGGTGCTGAGATGTACAGCAAGCTTGGTGGCCACAAGGGCATGGGTGATGCTCTGGCCCGCGGTATGGTTCTCGCGCTGAGCATCTGGTGGGATGAGAGCGGTGCCATGCAATGGCTTGACGGCTCAGAGTCCGGATCCGGACCATGCAATGCGACTGAAGGCTTCCCCAAGGCAATCCAACAGATTGAGAAGGCACCTACAGTCACCTTCAGCCAGATCAAGTGGGGTGAGATTGGATCCACATTCGCTGGTTCAAACTCCACCATGCGCCGTTGGACTGCCTAAATGATGAGCTCTCAAATTAGCTGTAAATACAAGCATGAGCTCTTCTGTTGAGTAACGAGTCCGCAAACGTGTTGGCGAGTGATGACGGTGAATTATTGTTCGTTTGTCAAAGTCGCGATGATGTGTTAGCGGGTGCGCGATTGTGTAAGCCGGATCTGCCGATACCATCATCAAGACCGTCATCGTATGATAGGTCGTGAAGATGGTGACTGTGAGCTCTGATTATGCGTGTCGGTGTCAAAACACGCGTGCGCGCCTGACGTGTGATGATTAGCAAGCTCCGATGACGCGGGAGTGCGGCCGATGCGGAAAGCACTATACTCCTTTCGTCATTACTACGTCAACATCCGACACGGACTGTCTTCTGGCCATGAATCTTTGCGATAACAACGAACATTGCACTTTCCAGCTGTAGAGCTGTATGTCTCTTCCGCTACTCACAGAAACTGTCGTGCGCACACATCCGCCGTTTGGTCGGCTTGCTGATAAGAGCTCACAAATCGACTTTCGCAAACTATGAATCTGTGCCGTATACGGTATTAACTTAGCGATGGATTGATGATTGTGCTAGTTCTATTTGATAAGTTGCGTATGACTGCAAGCGACGAAGCAGGATGTGTGAGACCTAGCAAGCGCCCCTACATATCTACTTAACAACAAGCAGGCGTCCACATACGGCCTGCTACCACTGTCATCCAAAGCTCATCTACACACCAAAAGCAAGCTCTTTCATGAAAATTTCCAGACCATGTCAACAACCGATAGACCTAACTCCGGCAAACAACCGCAGTCGGATAACGAATCAACGAAGTCAGGGTCAACGATGGCATCTACCAAGCCTTTTCTTCGATCCCTGCTTCCTCGTAAGCAGCCAAAAGACACTCGTGAGACGAGAAGCACGGGATCACCAGCCGACACGGCGCAACGCGGATTGAACAGGGCCGAAGCTTTAGTCTTCTCCGCAATACACAAGTAGGAAGGTAGTCAACTGATCTTAGACTCCATAGGGACGGCTTCATCACTCGTATGGTCGCATAAAGGCCTTACCTTGTTCGACACGCTGGACAGCATATTGTGTACATCATAATATATCTTGTCCGCAACGCTGCCACTTGAACCTCCAACTTTGCAACATGGCACACAATCGATGAGCTATCTTCCGATCTCTTCTGACATGGTTCTGCTTAATTGGCTTACCTTGACACATCACGCAGAAGCTTCATAGGCTACTTCCGCACTTTGAGACTTTCGCAACATGTTGGGTCGCAATTCATAACCTAGATCTAGACTCCCCGACACGATTCTGATTGCAAACGCTAAGCGTTTGCACACGAGACTTGTGAATTCCTTTCCAAGCGTGATCTCCTTCTGGCCTATCATTGACTACAGGCGCTTGGCTTGCGATTTTATCATAGAGCGAGACCGCGCTACCGGATGGCGTGATAACCGTGGCCATATTCACTGGGAGCCCCTCACGGCCCAAGCATTTCAGGGACACCGTTTGCGGCCCACGAATGACGTGCCTCAGGCTGCACAGCATCACATGCAGTATACATCAGGCAGCTCTCTTAGACCTAATGTACAAGATTAAGTACAATAGCTCTGTCAATCCCTTCCTCTCTGTCTCCTGTATTCTTTATCGTACGAAAGAACGCAAATATGTCTGTTGTGAACTTCGGATCCGACACGGACTTTGTCCAATATCATGATCAGTAAGTTGCTCTGAAGGTGTTTAGACTATTGTCGCCGGCAGCGCGTATGATCACAATCACTGTCGCCGTCTGATAGTCTATTGTATTCCGCTGCGTTGCGCATAGCATGGTACGTAATCAAGTCTTTAAGGACTGAAGCTAACACGCTCTTTTTGTTAGGCTGTCGCCGTCTCCTGCCAGCGCGAGCGATTTGGCTGAAGATGACCAAGTCATTTTACCGGACATGGACTTCTCGGGCGAAGAAAGGGGGGAGGATGTGTTCTTCTATGACGCTGCTGGGGAAAACACGATGTTTCGCCGCGGTAAAAAGCGATTTAACAAGGACGGAGTGAAGAAAGGAACGATCAAGACTGCACGGGGTAGTACGATCACGAGCACCAGTGGTTCACTCTCTCACCTGAGCACCGCCCCCGAGAGCCCAAGTGAGTCTAGTAACAAACAGTTATACTGGATAGTACTTATACTTCTCAGACAGCTATCTATCTCCTTCCTCCCCAGCGCTCCATCCCTCATTCGCGCCAATCAGTAACCGAGCGGAATCTCCATTGTTTGAACCTGAACACGGAGAAGCTTCTGACTACGCCTTCCCTACCCGAAGAAACACATTTCCCAATCGCCCGAGAACCCAAGGCCCATACAAATACAGCGTCATGGACGGACTCAAGCGCGCAAAAGCCACAAAGGCGGAGATCGAAACCAACATCTCCGTACTCATGCCCCAGGACAAGAAAACCAGCACCCGCCCCCTCGTCGAAGAGGACCCCGAAAATATCCTCATCAAGACCCTCCGCCAAGATCAAAAGCTCCCCTGGAGCGAAATCGCAAGCCACCTCAACCAAGAGCGCCTTTCCAAAGGCGAACCCGCAACCTTCACCGACGCCGCAGTCTACAGCCGCTTCGTCCGCAACGCCCCCCGCATCGCCACCTCCGCCGGCGAAATCGGCTTCGACCCCAAAGACTACATGCATCTGCGCAACCCAAACCAGTACTCCAACGCCGAAGGTACAGGTGTGCTTAGCAAGGCGGGTAAGAAGCGCATCAAGGACTACAACAATGCGACGGAGCTCAAGGACAACATGCGCCATGCGGTTCCTGCGGAGGTGCATGAGAATGATTTGGAGACGCCGCAGATGACGGAGCAGCTTGTGGATGCGGTGGCGAGGTGTGAGCGTAACTTTTGGAAGTATGTTGCTGATGAGTTGGAGAGGGCGACTGCTAAGATGTATGATGCTGAGAAGCTTGCTGAGCGCTATCATGCTATTTGAGGTTGATGGGAAGTTCCGGCCTGTTTGATGGGCTTGGAGCAGGTATGGGGTTTCTTTCGGCTGTAGAACTGTTGAGGAGGCTCTTGATCGGGTCCGCGATGAGCAGTCGGTCGATGTCGTGCTAGGAGATATCTATCAGAACTCAACTTCAGTGGTGATCTGGTCTTCCATGATCAGTTGCTGAAGTACTTGGGATAAAACGACACAAATGCATACACCAGTATCTCATCTGTGTAGGCTATTTCGCCAAAGTGACTGTTTTCTTGGTGAACCAAAACGTGCACTCTAAGCAAGTCGTCATATTCGCAAACCGATCTTATCTATAAAACACCTATTTACATCTACATCGAGGTAGCCTTCAACCTTTGCTTCACGGAAGCATATATGTCCCTAGCGCAAACCCTTTACACCTAGCAAGTGAAAGTAGGCGGGCCGGGGTTAGTGTAGCTTGTAGGAATAGGGTAGTTGATGTTGATCTGGATACCCGGGTCGGTAGCCTTGTACGCGCCAGGGAACGCGACGAGGTTCGATGGCGCCTTGCTGCCGCCGCCAGTAACCTCAAGCTGTGCGCAAGACAGGTAGAACTGGGCTCCGCCTACGCTCTGAGCAGTGTGGATGGCGATGTGCTCGTTGCGCATCAGGTATTTTCCAGGTGCAATGCACTGAGGGATCTTGATGTCGTAGGTGGCAGCGCCTGCGCGAAAAGATGTTAGTATATGCTAGCAGGGTAGGAGCGTTGTGAGAAACATACTCAGCCAGGTTAACTGGGAACCGAACTTGGGCTGTTCGGCGTAGATTCGGAACCAGACGGCGCCGGTTGGGTCCCAGGTGTTGATGTCTGCGCCCTCTGGCACCTTGGCAAGGTACGATTGGAAGGGGCCTGGATGGTAAGCGTTCGGGTTGACGCTGACCTTTACGTTCGAGCCAGCAGCAACAGTCGTGGTCGCTGTGCCTGCTTTAAGTTGGTTGCAGCGGATGTCGTTGCTTTGCACATTGCCGACGAATCCATTGTCCTGCCAGTTCTTGGCTTGACGGACACTGGTCCAGGCTGCGGCACCGTTGATGCTTGGGAGTGTGTCTTTCAGAGGTCAGCTTGCTTTCTTGGGTGGTGTGCAGTGCATCGGGACGTACAGTGAGCGCTGGCGACAGACGCAGTAGCTGCTAGCAAAACAACAGAGGACTTCATCTTGGCGGAGATCTTTGACAGAATCTGGAGATGAGATGCAATGAATATGCAGTTGGTGCCGGCATATCAACATCTCCCGAGCGACATATATACTTTGTCTCTTGCCCCAGGCTGGCTCGTTGGTTACGAGACACCCACCGGCAATAACGTCGAAAGAGCCGTACCCATCGCGAAAGACCCGAACATTGAGCGCGAATTGGTTGTAAGCGAAGGTGTACAAGACGATGTGAGTGTTGCATAGATTGCGAGTGATGAAGACAATCTATTTGGTGTGCGAGGCGGCTATCAGTCGCACAACGCTAGCGACGGATGCCGCTGCCGATTTTAATTGTGGCCAATGGCAGCTCCGAGCTTGCTTGAAATGTCTAAATTGCCTACGTCAACGCCATGGATCAGGCAATATACAATTTACGAGATGCGATCACACGAGTACAGATTTCTCGCCTGTCTCTCCACATCGGGTAGACACAGCCTCAAAGACAAGGCGGTTGCCAATTCTGGCGGTAGAACATCGCTAAAGATCATGGCGAAAACTCCACCTTCCCGAGCAATTCAGAGTATTTGGAAGCGCCTTGCACTATTCTAGTTTCATGACAGAGTCTAGCAGTAGCTACACGGTGGGCTTGTCCCGAAACGCGAAATCTACACATGCTCCCTAGCCTCTGCGTCCTCGCTATCGTGTCTCGCACCGTACTTGCCATCATCTGCACCAGTCACAACATTCATATCCTCGTCGGCAGCCACATCGAAGCTCTTACCTCGATACTCTGGTCCCAAAGCTGTGAGTAAGATAACATACGCATACACACATCCCATGAAGATGCAGATCACCAGTCCGTACTTGTACCGGCTGGTCTTGCCCTTCGGGGGAAGTGGAAATCTTTCGCCGATGGTCGCTTCAATGGTCGATGAGGCAGAGGAAGCGAGGTTCCCAAGTTGGTAGGATGTACCGACGACAAAAGTGCGGAATGATCCTGGGGAGAGTTCCATGAGGTGGATAGGGATGACGCCCCAAGCACCTTGGACGCAGAATTGTTGGAAGAAGGCTGCAGCGATGACAGCGTTGGTGGAGACGAATGTGTAAGGGTATAGTAGAGCGCCGCCGATAACGCACATGACGATGATGCTGATGCGGCGACCGAAAATGGACGAGCAATAGCCAACTACAGTGCCACCGGTCATGGCGCCAAGGTTGGCGACGACTTGTGTAACGGTGACCTGGTTGGGGGAGAAGTTGTACTGGTTACTCAGCATGGTCGGGTACAGGTCCTGGCTTCCGTGCGACATGAAGTTGAAGCCCGCCATGAGCAAGACGAGATACACCAGCAGAAGCCAGTGACGCTTCAACGCCACCTTGCCTTCCTGAGCAAAGACCTTGGCGGCGTTGGGTTGTTCTTCGCGAATCCGCTTGCGCTCGAGGTAAGCGTTCGTTTCTGGGAGGCAGAGACGGAAGATGATGAACAGGACTGGTGGGCCTGCACCGAACCAGAACAGCGGTCGCCATTCGTGACCGACGGTATTGACGAACGCGCGTGCAAAGACGGTCGCTAGTAGGTACCCGAATGCGTAGCCTTGTTGTAGCATACCGGAGATGATACCACGGGCCTGTTCGGGGCAGTCCTCAAGGGCTGCGACAGTGTTAGTCATCTCAATGATGCTGGGACAGAAAGGGAGAAGACTTACCAGTGGCAGCAGCATTTCCGTACAATCCACCCATGGCGATACCAAACAAAGCCCTCACTCCCAAGAACTCGTTGTAGGTCGAGCAGAAACCCGTGCCCAGCTCCAACACGATGAAGAGTAGATTGTTGATAATGAAAGGCCACTTCCTTCCATACCGATCAGCCGCCAGACCAAAGATGATACTACCCACACTTCGCAGCATGAGGACCAATGTAATACCCCATGTGATATCCGCCTTGGTTTTACCAAAGGTTTCGGCAAGATCTTCCACGGTGAGGGAAACGGTGAAGAAGTCGAACGCGTCCCAGGTCCACGCGACGAAGGCGACTAGGAAGAAGAGCCATTGCTGGAGATTCAGCATACGCAGGAGGGCGATGGGATTGGCGACCTTGTCGTGGGCAGGCTTGAGAGTGGGGATGCGCGTTGCCATGTAGCGACCAGCCGACATCTTTGCGGCTGGTGGCGCGAACTCGCGCTGCTCGGTAGTGTCGTATTTCTCATCCGACATCATGAATTGAGGACAACCCGCGGACAACTGCAGAATGCGAAGCGTTAGGGAAAGTTCTGTCTTCTTTCTCCGAACGAGATCGACAGACTGCTGAGCTCACAAGAGCTTATAAGGCACAGCGGGCGCAACGCTTTCTTTAATCCCACTAGATATGCACGCGATTATCGTTGAACCTTCCGAAAACGAGCTCACAGATAACCAGTGCGACCCGAGTATGCATCCTTGACATCCTCATGACGTCCCCGCAACCCTGCATGTTGACCTGCCATCTAATGGCACCCCCGCGGGGCGCGGCACGATAGACCAGAGTTGGCTAGCAGGCGACATGGGATGGAGCATACGACAGGGGCTACTGCGTGCTAAGAGTGGTCAAGAGGTGATAAGCGTCGCTTGGCTTGGAAAAGACGGCACAACGAAGCTTTGTTGAAGGCCGCCGAAAAGCTTGGTCGACGTCAAAGGCTTGGGGCGCCAACGGTCTGAAGGCGCTGCACTCAGAAATCCGCGGATTGTTGGAGATCAGTCAAGGCTGCGGGCTCGCATTTGATACAACACTGATTGATGATACTGTTTGTGGAAGTTGGTCTCGTGAGCTGGTTGTAGCTCATGATGCGTACCGGTGTTGGGTCGTGAGGATGCTCCAAAGTGGAGTGAAGACGCGGTGCTGTCCCAAGGGTGGCGCATCCACCGGCTTATCCCCGCATCTGGGGATCTCTGGACACGGCGTACTCGAATCTTAGTCACGACAGCATTCATCATGACTGCAAGGGTGAAGCAATCCTGCATAAGAGCGCATTTAGCGATTGCATCGTCTCGAGCGTGATTGGAAACGAAGACTGGAAGGTAGGCGTTGGGGCTGAGCAATGGTTGCAGGATATCGTATGCAGCCGACGGCCTGGAGGCAGATCTAGCTCCGAAGTTCGCGACCGGCTCGTCGCTCGGCAAAGTTGCTGGACGCCTGGCAGACCACCAGGCTTTCAGAGGTTCTGACACGGGAAATCGGAAGATAATCATGCTTTTCATAGTGATACCGAGACTAAAGTTCGTAGCCCAGAGCGAGAAGGAGAATACAGGAAGTCTAATCGCAGCAAAACGCTCATATACGCCAATTCCCAAATGCAATGCTCACATACTCTTGTTCGTCGTCTATAGGCAAGAAGTTACATGCGTCGTTGAACTGACTCAAGCTCTGCTGGAGACAGCCCGGGAGCTCTCAGCAGAGCTTGCCCATTCTTCCGTGAGTCGCTCGAGTTCGGTCATGCGAAGCGCCTCCTCAACACTCTGGACAAAGTGTCTTGGACCACCACACATTTCGATAATACCGCTCTTGTCAAACAGCTGGTAGACGGGGCTGGACTCTTGCGGCACCCTGCAGAAGAAGACTCTGACATCCCGTTTCCTGTAAGATTCTACAATCTCAGCCAGGACTTGGGCGCCGGCGCCGTCGAGCGACGTGACGCCGTGAACATCAAAGATGACGTTCTTGTTGTGTTCTGCACGGCGAACGCGCGGTAGGGCAGGATGCGCCTTTTCCGTGCCATGGTCTTCCAGGCGACGCAGTCGGGTCTTCAGGTTACCTGTGTTGGCGAAGGTCAAAGGCTCGGGAATCTTGACGATCAAACACCC